TCATTATTCACTCTATTCACCATTGATACGCATGCAACAAGTGTGTGTCATCCACAAGATGTACTGCAACAATTCATCAAGCACCTTCTAAACCCATGAACAATATCGTCTGGAAGGACAAAGGCAGCAGATACACGGGAGCACCATCACTATAAGATGATTGATCTGCTACCACGGTTTACTAGCTCTTGCTTCCTCTTTTAGTGACCTGCTGTGTCGTTCATACTGGTTAAAGTGTATGGAGCTGATGCGTGACATACAAAGGGTCCCAGGGCATTATTCTGAAGAACAGTTGGGGCATTCTCCGGTTTAAAATGTAAATTGAATCAACTTCATAACAACTGGATTATCTGCTCATTTATCTTAGTGCTGCTCATGGGATCTTGCCGTGTGCAAATTGGTTGCTGCATTTTCCAAAATGACAATAGTGACCACACGACCATAAGTAATTGCTTTGTGGTGGCCCAGGCACAATACAGACACTGCAAAGAGTTCTTTCTTTCTGTGGGGATGACTGTGGAGAAAAGAATACAGTCGGCTCTGCTATAACGCGATAGTTGTGTTCCTGCGCAACATTGTATTATAGAAAATCGCGCTATAGAAATAACGGGGCCCAAGGGAAAAGCAAGGTTGGGGTAGACTACCAAAAAATATCACTCAAAATCATTCAAAAATCACTCAAAAACCTAACACAAAGGATAGTACAGTTTGAATAAATGTTTAATTCATATTTAATTATGAAATAAAAGTAAATCTAACACCGTACCTTGAAAAAAATCTGAAGATGACTTGATAGGAGAGAAGGTTTTGAGGTTGCTCTGTTGTTAATGCAGGGGCTGAGGGTCACCACCATCATCATCATCACCTTCAGTTGCATTTGTGGTTGCAGGGTTAGGGTGAAAAATAATTAATTCAGAAGTGGATGGCTGTGGTTCATTGTCTTCTGACTGTTTCTTGGGGGTTGGCTTAAAAAAGACATCCAGTTTTTGCTGCTTTGCCGTTTTTCTTCTTTCATGAAGAAGCTGTTCATAGGGTTTCAGAAATCTCGCCAATGATAGGAGGATGGCTTGGCGCATTATCCAGGATGAGGAGAATCTTGAAATCCAAATTTTCTTTCTTGCAATAATTTCTAAAAACATCAACAATAAGGTCAAAAAAAGTTTGCCCCATCACCCAACCTCTTTTGCTGTCAAAAAAAGTTTGCCCCATCACCCAACCTCTTTTGCTTGACCTAAAGTAGATGCCTAGAGTAGACATATGGTAACCTTTCAAGGCTCGCGAGTTGGCAGAGTGGTACCACCACCGCAGGCTTAAGCTTCAAGTCTCCACTGGTATTGGCACCCAGCAGCACAGTCATTCAAACCTTTGCCACCTTAAAGCCTGCAGCATGTGCTTCATTCATGGAAATGTAGATTCTTGATGGCATTTGCTTCCAGTATAAACCTGTCTCATCCAAATTGAAAATTTGTCTAAGTTGTAGCCTTCTTCATCAATTAACATTTTTTACTATGGGAGGAAATGCCATCACATACTCCTTGTCTACACTGGCAGCTTCGCCACTTAACTTTACATTATGGTCACGTGATGCTGACTCTTTCAGCGCTGACATCGCTCAGGCCAATGTCCGCAAAATGATCATATGATATCAACACATACTCCTCCACGCCCTGATGGAATTGCGTTATAGCCAACACTAGTTCGCGTTCTAGAAATAGCATTCCCCTATTTGTCAGCCGTGTTATAGCCAATTTATGTTGTCAGAATATCCATTATAGCAGAACCAACTGTGCACAAAACTAAAAAAAAATAGGGCAGGAGTAGACCATTCAGCCCATTGAACCTGCTCCACCAATACAGTCGTGGCTGATCTTCAGCTTCTATCCTACTTGCCTGCTCCCCTACCCTCTCTTCCATGCCCCTTGATTCTTCACCCAGAGCGTAGTGTACCCATGCAATTCTCCGCCACAGAAAGCGGCTGAGGCCAAAACATTGAATGTTTCCAAGAAGGAGTTCGATATAGTTCTTCAGGCTAAAGGGATCAAAGGGATGGGGAGAAAGCAGGAACAGGGGGCTGAGTTGGATGATCTGCCATGGTCATATTGAATGGGGGAGCAGGCGTAAGGGGTGAATGACCTACACCTCTTCCTATTTTCTGTGTTTCTATGATTTCCTGAGAGACCAAAAAATCTGTCTATCTCAGTCTTCAATATATTCAATAATGGGGCATCTATAACCCTCTGGCTTAGAAAAATCCAAAGATTCACAACTCTTTCAGTGAAGATATTTCCCTTCATCTCAGTCCTAAATGATTTGCCCCTAATCCTGAGTCTGCATCTCCTTGTTCTAGATTCCCTACCCAGTTCATATTGACCCTGACAAGTCCCGTTCAGAATCTTGAAAGCTTATGTGAAATTCCTGGTAGGACATTTCAAGAAAGCTCACTTCTCAGCTGATTCCTATCCCTGTCCTTTTGTCTCTGACCTTCTGACCTTTCCTCAACCCTGGTCAGTTGTTACTCACGGATTGAGAGTGGCTGTCTGAAGGATTTCAGGGTTTTTTTTTGTCACCCTCCTTATAACCATCCATTTTACTCTTCTCATTCTGAGTAACTTTGCTTAGAAGCATATTTCCTCTCATGCCTGGGTTCGTGGTCCAGTTATAGAAAGGATATTATCAAGTTGGACAGCATGCAGAAGAGATTTACAAGGATGTTGCCGGGTATGGATGAGTTGAATTATAAAGAAAGGCTGGATAGACTGGCAGTTTGTTTTACTGGAGTATAGGAGGTTGAGAGGCTACCGTATGGAAGTTTACAAAATAATAAGCATTATAGATAGAGTTAAAGATAGTTGTCTTTTCCCTAAGATGAGGGATTTCAAGACTAGGAGACACATTTTTAAGGTAAGAGGAGATCGATTTAAAAAAAGACATGGGGGTCGAATTTTTTTACACAGAGGGTGGTTGTGTGTGGAATGAACTTCCTGAGGAAATGACGGATGTGAGTACAATTACAATATTTAATAGACATTTGGATAAACATGTGAATAGGAAAGATTTGGAGGGATATGGGCCAGGAGCAGGCAGGTGGGACTAGTTTAGTTTGGGATTATGTTTGGCATGGACTGGTTGTACCGAAGGGTCTGTTTCCGTGCTGTATGACTCTATGATACACGGTGTAAATGACACTGTTCCCAAGAAATTCATTAGAACCTCACTGGTCAGGGTTATACCTTTACATGATGGTATTCTGCCTAGCCATCCAAAACACCAATCTGACCCCCAACACATTTCACTGCATGAACCCTACCTCAGATAGCTCTGCCCAGCTCCAAATACAGAGTTAACACCCATTGGCTATTCTTGTGATTGAAACTCTCCATTATAACAAGTGGATTTAATCTTGGACACAACCACCTTAGAGGTGATACACAGCTAACACTTTGACCAGCTTTTGATTGTCTACTGTAATGTGGTTTGGCAGCAAATTTTGTTTAATAATGCACCTACCTTGCTTTATGACATTAATGGCGCCCTATAAATGCAGATGGTTGTTGAATCTCGAACCTGTGAGTGGAAACAGGAAAACTGGGCTCGGAGTGATTGTCTTCACAACTCTAGGTCTAGAAGCCGTCCTGGTTTAGAACCCGCTGGGAGGAATTAGGGGGAAGGCGATGGCCAAGTGGTATTATCACTAGACTGGTAATCTAGTGACCCTGATAACATCCTGGGGACCAGGGTTCAAATCCTGCCATGGCAGATGATGGAATTTGAATTCAATGAATATCTGGAATTAAGAATCTAGCAATGATTGTGAATCCATTCCTGATTGTCAGGAAAAACCCATCTGGTTCACTAATGTCCTTTAGGGAAGGAAACTGCTGGCCTACATGTGACTCCAGACCTACAGCAATGTGGTTGACTCTTAACTGCCCTCCAGGCAATAAATTTTGCCTTGCCAGCAACACCTTCATTCCGTAAATGAATAAAGAAAATTCTCTGCCATAAAGATGCCAGTCTGGTATTACTCCCTCTCACGCCTGACCCCTTCAGGAGGCTACTGTCCAACCTTAAAAGGGATGGATTTTTATGTCCCCATAAAATAAAGCTGAAAAGGAAATAATAAACAGACTGCAAGAAAATTTGACAACTGTATTCGAGAATGCAAAGTTAATTCCAAGTCATCCCCTTCAAGTGGATTAATTCTGCAGTTTAAACTGACAAGGGTATTAATCTAATAAGGTTCAGGATTTAAATAATCGGTGCTTGAACAGGTTTGAAAAATAAACAGCTCACCCCCTCCATCACTCAAGAGAAAGGGACCTTTGAATTAATGTCCACTGACCGAAATCATCCGCCCGGCGTGCGCTTTAAGAGCCGCAATATTAAACACAGGGATTGTTCAAGCCCCTTCTCGGTGTGCCAAGGAGGCGTGGCTTTCACAGCATTGGGTCATTCGAGAGGGTAAAGCTGTGCCTCCCCTTCAGTGTCACACTGCTCTGGTAAAGTCCAGCAACTGCAAACCCATAGTCTGATCTTTCAGGAAAGGGGCAAAGAATGGGGGAGCTCCTGTTAAAAGCTGCAAGATGAGACGCCCTCGCTTTAAGGAGCTGGATAAATAAAACATGATCCTGCCTTGGGCTCAATGACATCAGGGTTTTCTCTCTCTTTTTCCTTTATCTCTCTCTCTCTATCTGCCTGATTTTTCTTGTGTTTATTTCCTGGAAGATTTTCAAGCCTGGCTTTCTTTTTTGTACGATATCTGTGTTTCTGCCAGGGTCTGTTTTGTGGATGCAGTTCATCTATTTTGTTTTTTGGAGGGTCTGTTTGAGCTGATCTGTTTTTCGACCAAGGAAAAGACATTAGCCCAGTGCTTTGTTCCATCCCTCTCTCTCTCTCTCTCTGTGTGCCTTGTTTTCTCTCTGTGTTTGTGTGGGGAGAAGGAGGTTGGAGAGATCGGGGGGTTGGGGGGGGGGGGGGGAAAAAAAATAACAGCAGGTGCCAAGTGAAGACTTCAGTCTTTGTCGTTGGGCAGATCCCCGGTGGAGGAGAGTTGCAGATCTGAGGCGAGGGGTACCAGATGCCTGGAGATAGCCCCAGTGTGTGCCCAGCCCTTTGATGTGAGCCTACAGCCCGTGCCTTGAGCGCCATTAGAAGGAAGGGGAGGGGGCATTCAGATGCCACACTGCAGAGGTTGGTGGTAACGGTCTGGCTGTCTCTCTCTCTCTCTCTCTCTCTCCTTGCTTCGTGTCTTCCCCCACCGCCTCTTGTGTGTTTCTCCTGCTGGGATGCTGAAGGAGTGACGGAGATGGCAGCTGGTCGGCTCCTGCTCTACGCCGGTCTCTCCATGGCCCTGTGCGCCCTGGGCATGCTGGCGGTGGCCATCTGCTCCGACCACTGGTACCAGACCGATGCCAGGAGGCACCGGGAGCGCTGCAAAAACTACGCCAGCCGCACCAACCACCCGGGCTTCATCTACACCTCCAACAACCTGCCCCTCCGTGCCAGCCGCCGCCAGCTGGACCGCTGGGAGGAAAAGCTGCTGGGCACCAGGAACCGGCGCCAGCTCTTCGCCCTGAGCGCCGCCGATGAGTGCAGCCGCATGTATAACTCCACCAACACCGGGCTCTGGATGAAGTGCCACCGGCTGGGATTTGACCAGGACATCGCTGAACTGATTGCCAAAGGTAAGGGGGAAGGGGGGGTGGTTTGGCTGGGGATGTGTGAGGATTCGTGGGGCCGGGGTGGGGGGGTGGTGGGTGAAGGAAGAGTGTGTTTGTGCCTGAGGAACAAGTGTAGACCATTCGGCCCTTCGAGCCCGTGCCAGCATTCAATAACATCGCGGCTAATCTGTTGCCCAACCTCGCCTTGGTTCCATAGCCCTCAGCCTGACTAAATCTGTTTCAAAATTATCCATGTATTACGGCTGTTTAGTTTTGCCTGAGAAAAATTCAAATTGCCACCACTCTGTGTGACGATATTTTTGTTGACATCCTCCCTCCAGAACAGGCTGGCCCTAATTTGTAGAGTTCTGCACCCACCCACCACCTTGTTGCCAGCACCCCAGGGATCTCACTGTAACCTCTCAGGTCTTTGAATTAACCTACATGCCTCAGTGAGGTCGCCCCTTAATCTTGGATAAAGGAGACTACTCTGTGTAACCTGTTCCCATGATTTAACCCTCTGCATCCCAGTGTTCTGAATGTAAATGGAATTACACCTTGCTGACAGTTGAGGTGCCATGCTCCCCTTGCTTTGGACAAGGAGATTTGGATAAACAGAGCATTTTGGAGAGCTGGTGGGTGTTGTGGTGAGGAGGGACATTTTGAGGAAAGTTGGAAGCACTTCTTTGTGAAGTTGCACTCAGAAGGCTTTGTCACAGAGCCATACAGCACAGAAGCAGACTCTTTGGACCAGCTTGCCTTTGGAACAACCCGAGTTCCTGCAGCCAGGCTCCTATGGGGCCACGAGCTATCCCGAGAGAAAGCCAATGCATTTATGAACCGCTTCACTTCCGTTTTCGCTCCTGATTAACCTAACATTTCCCCCACCATCTCACAACCACTTGCTCCCACTGGGGCACGGTTCACCGTTTCCTGCTCACCCTCATTTCGAGTGCGTTGACAGGAAATTGGGCAGCGATGATCCACAGCAGTTTTTGGGTGCCATCACTTGATGCCCACTTCTCCGACAGGCGGTGACTCAGTAATTGATCAGGGCTGGACCTCATTCTCTCTCGAGTCCCTCTCTTTTTCCCTGCTGGCTTGGTTGAGATTCCCAATCCCAGCATTTGCAATTGGAAATTAATCGAGGCTTATCTGGCCAACAAACCAGCAATACCGGGGACCAAATCTTTGTAAATTCTCCGAAATAGTAAATCAGACATGTTCGGTGAATATTAGAGATTATCAGAGGGACTCTATAAATCATACATAAATTTATGCCAATTTTATTCTCCACTTGTTCTGAACTAGCTGTGAATGGGAATTCAATTTTGCACCAGAAAGCAGAAAGATTAAAGTCATTCCATTAAGTCCAAACTGGAATGGAATTGGGGAAATGGGTGGCAGTTGGCTGGCACCTTTTATAATTGGTCAGCCAAGCCTCACACCAAGGGGCACCCCCATGGACTGGAAGAGAAGGAGGGAAGACAAGTGGGCATAAGGTTGTGCCAACCATGGGTTTGATCTGTTTGGAGATAAAGCAGAGTGAGAGAGCCAGAGATTTCATGGTTTGGGGCCATATCAGAAAGAAATGAGTGCAGGTGTGGGGGGATGGTGCAACGAAAATCGAAATATGTTATAACCCACAGTTTTGAAATAGTGAGACAGATTCCGGGGTGAGTGTGATCTTCAGTTCATTCCATCATGAGATGGTTATTGGTGGGTGTCTCTGTCTGTACCAATTTGTAACTGAGACTGGTTTATACTTACGTGGGTGGAAGTCACAGCTCGAGTGTTTTTGTAAAGAGTTTCAAGCCTGATACAAGTAACTCAGGTCTCAGACTCTGCAGTGAGACAGTCCCCAGTAACAATATGATAGCATGAGAAGCAGAAAGTAGTCAGTAACAGATAACAGTGCTTGTTAGTGACAATGGATTATCTATGCCAGTTACTGGTAGTGGGTTAGCTTTACCAGTCTGTGACGTTCGGTGACAGTGGATTGGCAGTATCCGTCAGCCAATCCACTGTCACTGATGGACCCTGATAATTCACTGTCACCAACTGATACATAAGAACATAAGACCCCAAGAGCAGGAGTAGGCCATCTGGCCCTTCGAGCCCGCTCTGCCATTCAGTAAGATCATGGCTAATCTTTTCATGGTCTCAGCTCCACCTACCCACCCTCTCACCATAACCCTTAATTCCTTTACTGTTCAAGAAATGATCTATCTTAACTTTAAAAGTATTCAACGAGGAAGCCTCAATTACTTCACTGGGCAGGGAATTCCACAGATTCACATGCCTTTGTGTGAAGGTGTTCCTCCTCAATTCAGTCCTAAATCTGCTCCCCCTTATTTTGAGGCAATGCCCTCCTGTTCTAGTTTCACCCACCAGTGGAAACGTCCTCCCTGCTTCTCTTATTTATTCCCTTCATAATTTTATTTTTCTAAATTCCAATGAAAATAATCCCAGTCTACTCAGTCTCTCCTCATAAACCAACCCTCAACTCCAGAATCAACCTAGTGAATATCCTCTGCCACCCCCATCTCCAGTGTCAGAACATCCTTTCTTAAGTAAGGAGACAAAAACCACGCACAGTACTCCAGATGTGGCCTCACTAGCACTGTATACAGCTGGAACACAACCTCCCTGCTTTTAAACTCAATCCCTGTGGCAATGAGGGACAAAATTCCATTTGTTTTAATTACCTGCTGCACCTGCAAACCAACCTCAGTCCTTCATGCACAAGGACACACAGTTCCCTCTGCACACCAGCACGCTGCAGTTTTTTACTGTTCAAATAAGTCCTTTTTACTGTTATTCCTACCAGAATGGATGACTTCACATTTATCAACATTGTGCTCCATCTGCCAGACCTTTGCCCACTCACTTAAACTATCTATATCCGTCTGTAAACTCCGTCCTCTGTGCACTTTGTCTATCACTCATCTTAGCATCATCCACAAACTTTGATCCACTACGTGTGGTCCCCAACTCCAAATCATCGATGTAAATTGTAAACAATTGTGGTCATGACACTGACCCCTGAGGCACATTCTGCTAATCCACTGTCACTGACTGATGCTGCTAACTCATTCTCAATAACTGACACAAATAATGTTAAACTGAAATGGCAATGTCAGTGTCCACCTGTTGAATTATCAATGCCAGTCAGTGCCAATGGATTATCAGTGACAGTCAGTGCCAGTGGATTATCAATGCCAGTCAGTGACAGTGGATTATCAATGACAGTCAGTGCCAGTGGATTATCAATGCCAGTCAGTGACAGTGGATTATCAGTGACAGTCAGTGACAGTGGATTATCAATGCCAGTCAGTGCCAGTGGATTATCAATGACAGTCAGTGCCAGTGGATTATCAGTGACAGTCAGTGACAGTGGATTATCAATGACAGTCAGTGACAGTGGATTATCAGTGACAGTCA